TGTCTGCAGCTTTGGTAAGTTTTATAATAAGCTGATATAGTTTAGCATTGCTAGTATGAGCCACTGGATTTGTAAGGCACTGTGACAAAACAGCAGGGAAAGGGGGACTTTATTCTTTATTCCCATCAGATTAAAATCTAACTCTGTATCATATGTTTATGAAATATGCTGTTGGACAAAATACAGCAATGAAAATGAAGGCCAGTTATGTTTTCTGTTATATTTTCTCAATGGAATTTATTAGAAATTCAGTGACTGTATTTTTTTTTTCTAAAGGCTACATAAGTAATTATAGATCACTGTAAAATGCTAAATTGCAGTTATAGTCCACAACCTGAATATTTCACTAAATTAGAAATAACTCTACTGCGGACCTACTCTACTGTGGACCTAGTCTGAGAAAATAACTGGTCTGGCCTATGTATTTTTGAAGGACGTGACACAATGTTATGAAGATAGAGGTTCAAGATCCTGTTCTGGTCATTTCAGGGCACAATATTCGTCCATATCTAAAACCTGCCTCATAGCTGTTTGTGCAGAAACTAGTTAGTGTTTATTTACTTCCTGACAAGAACTTCACAAAAACCACTATATTTTGCTGCTCAGTAGAACAGGATRTATTTCCAGTCACACTTCTGCACTACACTCTGGGAAAAACTGAATCTTGCAATCCAGAATTTTGGTTCTACCTAATTTCTTGTATTGTGGAATAAAAAAAAAATAGAAAAATGAATAGGTGGGAGAAAAAGAAGTCACTGACACATATACCTGCATATCTAGTTTTATAATTATACCTCAGTAGAAACTGGTTGGAATTCTGACAATTCTGTTTTCCTTACATCCTCCAATATCAATGAACTTCCCTTTCTATTAAGAAAATAATTAAATGGGTTGTTCTTGTGATATTTTTACCTCTCTCTTCAAACTTTAGCTCCATTCTCCAAAACCATATATTTTCTGCTTGAATTATTTTGAGGTTGGTGTTGTAGACTCTAGAAATACGTCAGGTTTGCTTTAGCAGAAACATGAAGTGAAAGCTTTTTGAGCTTTTTGCATAGTATTTAATTTGGATGCAGTTAAAAAGTTATCTGTTGAAATATGAGAGCCCTCATGATGATATTTAAGTATTTTGGAAGTAACTTCTGCCTGCAGAACAGCTTCCTTAAGCTTCTTGTTGCTTTTCCTTTTCTCCCTTCCCAGGTAATTGTGAAAAAGTGCACATACTTTTCCCTGCAAAACACTGGTCTACTGAACTTTCAACTTGGCTTTATCTCATTTTAGGAGCATTTTTATGAGACAGATATTACACAGGTAGTGAATGTGCACATTGGAATTTTGCCACAGGAACTCAGTAATAGAATTCTATTAAACTGATGAGTCAGGTCTTGCATCTTTTGTGAAAGGACTAACTACATGTCAGTTATTGTGTTGCTCTTATCTATTTGCTTGTTTGTTTTACTGTGGCATTGAAGCTTATTAAAGCTATGCAAGTCTAGCAGTTAAGGATGCACTGCTTGCTTAAWGACCCTATACTTTCAGGCATCGCAAAGCAGGATGCTGAAAAGAAGGWGTAAAATAAAATTGTGAAAACGTTACTGAGTATTGATCGGTTGGAGACYGTGTTTTCACTCAAGCAGTAGCAAACAACCTGATAACATTAACATAACCACTGCTGTTGAAGTGGTAAAAAGATATTTCCACATGTTTGTTGGGAATAGGAACACCAATGCACTTCACAGAGCATCCTGAAAAGTCTGATATTAGCCACTCTTGACCACTTTTGCTATCGATCAGTTTTTAGCTAGTAATCTAGAAGTGAAAAGTTTTGTTCTTAATATCAGTTCTATGAATCATTCCATTTCCCCTAAAATGRTCAGTATAGTTTAATTTCCTGCCCTCCATCCCATTATAAGACAGGCCAGGGGAAAGGTGGTTCTTTTCAGTACTTGCAAATTATTTGATGCAATTTGTTTGAGATCTTTCTCTTTCATGGTGCTTTCTTAAATTTAGAATCAAATTAAATGTGTCCCTAGCTATTGCAGAATACATTGATTAGAGCTGAATTATGCTCAGCTGTGATCTATATTGGAATTTGCATGACACATCTCTCCTGGAGTGAAACTAAAAGGGAATTTGAATCATCCCCTACTCCTTTCCAGTGAATATAGTCCATTAACCATTAAATCAAATAAGCTGTGGTCAATATTTAGAACAGATTAATGTGTAGATTTAATAAATGATGTATCTATTAGAATAAAAGGTTCTAGTATTTACCTAATCTGTGCTGACTGTATAGTCTATGTCTATTAAAGAATATCTTATTGCAAGTATGTCTTTTTTTCCTATTTCTTATTTGCATTACAGCAGCCTCCAGAGCCTTAGTGAAGACAGCCTGCTTGATTGTTAATATTCTAAGATTTTGATCTTACTTATACATGTATGAGCTTCTCCAATGTTTTGGATTTATATATGACAGCTTATATGCATATAAGGTAACAAATACATGTGTTTTAAGAGACTAAAGTGGCTGATTGTCTACTGCAGTCTGCATAAGACATCTTCTCTAGCAGGTTCTTTGAGCCCAGATATTGCTTAAGGGAGGCATACAACTTACTGTGCTTGTGATAAAAACTAGAATCTGTTTTTTCCTGACTTTCTCTCTGTCACCATTTATTTTTCTCACTAAAAAAAATATGTTTACATAGCTTTGATGTGTTCTTTTCCATCAGTTCACAGTGAGAGAACAGCACATCTAGTATGACTCTATGATAATATAAAATAGCATCTGTCCACCTAATCTCTCTTAACAGAAAGCTTCTAATGCCAGGTGGCTAATGGAAACTCTCACAATTTTGCAGCAATATTAAGAAAGAGGTAGCTCATAGATAGATTCTGACAAAGTGGCAACCTTAATAATTGCGGCTATGGAAGAAGGAGTAATTGCAGGACCTCTCTTCTGCATGGATACAACCATGGTTTCATGTTCAGACCTCCCCGGCCCTCTGTGCAGTTTCAAGGTCTGCAATGTTTGTTCCTTGAAGATGGAAATATGACGAGTAAACTCTGAAAGAACTAGTATTAGTATTGCTTTTATATTTTTTTTTCTCAAATGCCTACACAGATATTAGATTTTTGTCAAATGTAAGCACTGTAAAAYGTGTCCAGCTTGTTGTGACTTTGGAAAAGGCATGTTCTAATCAGAGAAAACATTTATCTTGTTTCCATCTTGTCCTGAGGAATAATATTGCGTCAGGTCTTTTCCAAATAACACATCTTATGTCTTGTTTCTTTGCTCCTTCTTTAAGATATATAACTTACCATGGTAACCTTTTAAATTAGAGTCTGATCCTAAACTTATAGCTACGGATGACAAAAAGAACCCATTGCCTTCAGGCTTTCTAAAGCAGTTTGATGTGCAGTTATTCACACAGCGGTCACACTTGCGTGACAAGGCTACACGGTAAGGACAATATATGAAATGAAGCATTCCCTTAGAATGTTAATAGTATAAGGCAAGATACTTCTCCTTTTTCTTCAAGTCATTTCTGGCAATCAGCTGTAAAATCTGACAGTGATTAGAGGTGACAAGTTATTTCTGTACCAGTGCTTTGATACAACAAAACTTATTCCCCTTCCTTCCTTCCTTCCTTCCTTCCTTCCTTCCTTCCTTCCTTCCTTCCTTCCTTCCTTCCTTCCTTCCTTCC